TGAGTCATAACGAAATAATACCACATAAAATAATAGATTTTTTTTGTTTTAATATGTTTGAAATTTGTGATGTAGTCGCCATTTTGAAAAATAAGAAATTTACTATGTTATCTTAGCCCTGCCGATCTTATATGTATCTATATAAAAAATTCCCTGGTTGATAAATGATTTGCGAATTAATGATATAGATGATCTGCACCGTAAGTGATTTGCGAATTAATCTTTTTTTTTGTTATTAAAAATGTGTAAAGAAATTAAAAGAAGAAAACAAACAACTAATTGGAGCAAGGTGTTTGGGTAAGTATTTATTGTGTTATCACCACTCAGTGTCACTCTAGTCAATTATTTAAAATGGCAACTACAGTAGCTTAACATTGTTTTTATTTTTTTTATTTACTTAATATAAATAGAGAAGGTACTTCCTCTTTATTGTTGTCAACAACAACGTCATTCTCCTCCTCCTCAACAACAACATCATCCTCATCATCAAGTGGGTAAGTATTGTTAGATGATATTTATCATTTAAGAGTGATTCCAATTAACATATAGGAGGAACATGGAAAAATTGATTTCCTGTTGAGACAATTTGTGGATCATTGGTTCAAAATTGGGTTACAAACTATAAAACTTAAGGATTAATAATATGAAAAACTCAATTTTGTTTAGAAAGTCTTGTGGATGATTTTTGTTGTGTAGCCCCACATACTAACATATGCTCATCTCAATTTCTGATATGTTTGACTTTTATTTAGGCCTAAAGATGAAATAAACATCCCTCAGATCCTGATGGTGTGGTGACATCATTACTTAAGAATAGTGTAGTATCCTCCTATCTTCATTACAAAAGTCCTGAATTCAAACTTAAAGAAAGTGGAGTTAAGCTGTGAACAAGCTGTTATCATTTTTTCAGAGATGTGAATCAATGAAAGATCCATTGAAAGTAGTGTTGCAATCCAAAAAAGAAAACTAAAGTGGTTGCAAAGTGGTTGCAACCAGGTGTTGCAAACCATTTTTATATGTTGCAAATATGGTTGCAACCATCACCAAGAATTGCGACCAGCATCTATAATTGAAAGGCAATTTTAGTTTGTATGAGCTGATAAAGGAGGCATTGTCAAGGATAAACCCTGAAGTGTTAAAAAATAATGTTGGAAAGTCAAAGGATGATAAGAGGTTATTGGAACAAGTGTGGCAGATGGAACTTTACAGAACTATCTATAGCTGTTTACCTGATGAAATTCACTTGTCATCAAATGTCGGACACATATATAAAACAGATGGACTTGTTGACTTTTATATTGCTGAGTTGAACTGGGCAGTTGAATTGCTTGTTGATGGGGTTAAGATGAAGGAACACCATGGACGTTTCCAGCATGGTATGTGGATGTATAATATGTAATATGTGGACTCTATTTAATTTTATATCCATATATGTGTGCATATGTTATCTTTTATTTAGATGGAAGATATTCATCAATACTATACATGAAGTCGAAATTAAAACCCCAAAATCAAAATGTTTCGACTTGAGGCAACTACACAGTAAAAATCAGTTTTGACCTTATTTCAACCCTATTTTGACCAGATCTGCAAATGGTCGGAATAGTTTTGACTTCATGTATAATCAATACCATTCAAATCACATATTATTATTGATTTCCAGCAGAATAATAAGAGAGTGAATAAACCCTACACTAATACATGGCATGTAATGTTCAACCTTGATTCTAGGATTTTTAATGTGTTGTCTGGCACAAAATTTTTTGAAATCCCAATTAAAAGGAAAATTGGTGGTCTTTCTGAATCAAGTAGATATCTGAACATTAATGATAGAAAAAATAAGCGAAATTTTGAAAACAAAGAGAACATTGATTTAGGAGATATATCATCACCATCATCAGAAGAGGACATTTTAATACTTAGCATTAAGCCTAAGAAAAAAACCAAAAATAATAATAATAAATTATTTGAGAAGAATACTGATGGTGAAAATATTTTCATTGTTTATTTATTTAATTTCTATCATCTATTTCTTATGAGAATGATTAGTGGTTGGTACTTAAATGTGCTGAAAATAGAGATTTAGATAATAATTTAACAAAAAATTTTAAAGAAATTACTTGGAAAAATAAGATTGAATAATTTTATTTGATTTCAGAAAGATAAACTTTTAATAGATTCATAGATATTTAGTAAAATGATTATATTTTCATACTCTCATTATATTATTATAATAGAAGATTTGGGATTGTACATCTTACATATATCCAAATAAAGTTAAAAGATAACAAATGGAGCATTAATATTAAATTATAATTACAATGCCAATGTTCACTTTGTCTGGTTTTGTTGCAGCATGCCCCATATAGAAGAATAGCTATTATCATTTAGATTAGCCCTTCAATTTAGAAACGAATTATTAATTCAAAGTATCTTGGCAAGTTTCAGTTCTTTTGAATAAGAAATAGAAATTAGTCTTACATTTTATTTTTAATTCTACCAGATGTAATCAAAAATAAGCATTTCAAAAAATGTATAAATATAGAGGTTGTCTGAAGTAGCATAGTGGAAATTCTATTTTTGCAATTGTCACATTTACATTTTAGTAGAAGATCTTTGTGTTACATACATAATAAAATTTGTTTGAATTATAACTTTAAATTAAAGAGTTTTTTATTTTTTGCACAATGTACAAACATATGTATTCGAATTTATTTATTTAAAAATTTGTGATTTTACATATCCTTTGATACATAATAGTAAA